CACACGTTTTCCTACTTTGGCCCCAAAGAGACCTCCTCAGACCCAATCCTCTTATTTCTGTCTCCCAAATAGCTGAAATTAAAGATGAGTGCCACCACACCTGTGTCAAAACCCTATCTTTTAAAAACAATATGTGAAATGAAAAGGAATTCAGCTGTTGGCAAGAAGGAACGCTTTCTAGGTGAGCAGAAGCTAGTGGTCCCTTTCCTGTCTGGGCATGTGAACTCTCAGAGTTTGTGTCCAGCTAGACAGAAGGTCGTCTCTGACTAGGTAGAGGGACTCTATTTGGACAAGGAGACATTAGTGGAGCTTTGATAGCTGTCTGCAATAATATAGCAGATTGGAATCGGTTTTCCCTACATGATAGCTCTTTCCACTGGAAATTTTAGAGACCCCAGCAACACAGAGGCTAGGAAATGAGTTACAAAGCAGAGAGAATTCTGTAGTTCTGTGCTGTTTATACCAAAGCCCTCTCGGTGGGAGAGACCTCTCGTACTCGCAGATTTGAAACCAGAATTAAATTAAGACTAATAAAAGTTCAACTCAGCTTATATCCAGCTCAACCCTTGGAAGGGTTGACATGATCTGCTTCGTACTCCAACTGTCCCCTTTCTGGAGAAATTCTGATCACTCATGTTTTATAGAATTATTTTAAAACTAGGTTATGTCCACAAATAAAATAAAATTAAAAAAATATAAAATAAAATAAAAAGAAAAAAAACTAGGTATGTCATACAATAACAGGTTAGAATATAAGTGAAGAAAGAAATTGTGACCCATGAACAATTAACAGTGTTCAGCGGCAAAATGACTAAATGGATGGCGGCATTAAGAGATAAGAACTTTCAAATGGCAATGATAAATATGTTAATGAAATTAGAGGAGGAAATATGGACAACAACAAAGGCCATGGAATCCCTAGGAAAGAATGACTCAGAAATTCTTGATGCTCAAGACACAATATGTGAGTTGAAGCATTTATTTAATAGCAGTCTAGATAAGTAGAAGAAAAATAAACTTGAGATAGAGCAATAGAAATTCTGTACTTGCTTTAAAAAAAAAAGAAAAATAATTCTGTACCCGAAGCTCAGAGAAAGAACATGTGGGCTAATAAAACCCAAAGCAGTCATAAAGGACATAATATGCAATAGTAATATGCAATGCCTGATCATCATACTATTGGAATTCCAGAAGTAGAGGGTAGAAAATTTAGGGTAGGCAAAATATATGATGAGAAAATAGATAATAATACCTCCAAAATTATGAAAGACATCAACCTGCAGATTCTAGAGTCTCAGTAACTTCCCAAGCAGAAGGAATGAAAAGCAAGCTACATCTATTAGTACATCTCATTCACACCACTCAACACAGAGATAAAGAGAAAGCCCATGAAAAGCAAGCAGAGAAAACCAGTATTCCATTTAGGAAACATCAGTAAGACCTGTAACTGACATTTCACCTAACCAGTGAAGTCCACAAGACAAGGGAAGGCTTTTCAAAAATGACTTAAGCAACAATAAACACTGTCCACCTGAAGTTCTACACCCAGTAAAACAAATTATACACCTATTATGAAAAGAAAGCTGGGGAGATTGGTTATCAGCAGATCTGTGGTATAAGAAATATGAATGGGCTGGGTGCCAGTGGCTCATGCCTATAATCCTAGCTACTCAGGAGGCTGAGATCTGAGGATCATGGTTTGGAGCCAGCCCTGGCGGGAAAGTCTGTGAAACTCTTCTCTCCAATAAAACACCAGAAAACCGGAAGTGCCACTGTGGTTCAAGTGGTAGAGTGCTAGCCTTGAGCCGAAGAGCTGAGGGACAGCGCCCAGGCCCAGCGTTCAGGCCCCATGACCAACAGGAAAAAAAAAACAAACAAAAAACTTCAATATGAATGGTAGTGAGTTGTAGATCCCTGCGTAGCCATTTCAATATAATGTAAGTTAGAGCTACAAACATATCATAGTTGATTCATCTGAATATATGAAATACTAAAATCTTTTCTGTTTTTAATGTCCTATACACTGTAATTACCATAGACTTAAAATCTATATTGAAACCTAACAGTGTTTCCCCAGTAAGTTTCTCTGTGGCACAGTTGCATTCTGTTTTTCATGGAACATCTTCCTGGTATTGTTTTGGACTAAAAAGTACAAACAGCTGATTTAACCTCAGCTGGGTTTTCTCCTAATACAGTGAGAGACTGCCGAGGGAGGCTGTCTGACTGCTCCAAGACTATGACAGTCAGCCTTACGTAATAATGTGTCAGCTCAGGAAGGTCCTGACCTGCATTCCATCCTGCGATGAAGGCAAAATATTGGAATCCCTAACCAAGAAGTGAAAGCTCTTCCAAAAATGCTGTCTGGCTTTTTTGCCAAAGAAAATAGTTGATCATTGCACTTAAAAGTTTTTTTGGGTGGATTGTCTCAGATGAAACCAGCATGTTAACTCAGCTGCTCATAGATAAATCTGCACATTTGTCCTGTCAGCTGCTGGGGTCTTTGCTTTGAAATGCCATCAGGACACCTATTGTACAAGTTAGAAATTGTGTTCTGTTATTGCAGTGGGCATTGCTAGTTCTAAATGTATATTCCTCAGTCTTCTATGATTCACATATTTCCCAAATTCCTCACTTCTTCCAACATTTGCAGTGCTACGATATAGGGTTATATATGTTTGTTTGCTTAATAATGATGATATCACTTGCCAAAGATACATGATACAATTCTGCAGCCATTGTGGCAGCATGGAAAAAATACCTGCTATGATTTTGAATCAGGAAATAAAGTAATTTGCAGAACAATGGATTTGATGTGGATGGGAAAAGACTTTCCACTTTCACCTTATGTAATTATATTTGAATTATATTAAGTGAAGTAAGCAAGACCCAAAGAAATGTAGGTTGCATGGTCTCTCTCATTTGTAATAATTAGAATGTGCCTATAAATCTACAAGTAAATCCAATGGATAGTAAAAGACAAAAATTATACTTGGTCATAATTATATGTGATTCAAATATTCACAGAATATCTTCTATTATAATTTAATTTGAACTAGATCTGTGTTTGCTGCTAAGATTGTATTTTTTTTTACAAATCAAGTATTTGTGTGTGTGTGTGTGTGTGTGTTTTACTGGGAATCAGATTCAAGGAATTGTATAAGCTATACAAGCCTTTTACCACTGAGCCTCATTGATATTCATTTTTAAAAAGAAATTAAACTGGGCTGGGAAGGTGGCTCAGTGGTAGAGTGCTTGCCTTGCATGCCTGAGGCCCTGGGATCAATTCCTTGCTGAGGAAGTGGCACTGTGGCTCAAGTGGTAGAGTGCTAGCCTTGAGCTGAAGAGCTGAAGGACAGCACCCAGGCCCAGAGTTCAGGCCCCACAACTGACCCAAAATAAAAACAAAGAAAAAACACACAAAAAAATTGAACTACATAATTCCAGAACTGCAAAAAGTTTTGGAGACCCATGTACTTTTTTTGCACATGAAACGTGGAACTCGGAGGACAGTAGGTTATGTAGGCAATGTTCGTTGATTGTAGCCTTACCCAATACAGATATTTATGTGTTTAATGCTCTGTAAATTTTTAAGTGATTTTCAGTATTAGCTTTATTGCAAAAGGAAAAAAAGTCTTATAAGCCTCAAACATGATAAAGAGAGCAATGTCTGATCTGACTGATTTCATGTTTTTTAACCATAAGTATGGACCTTTCTTGTCTAAGATATAGAATTCAGTGCAAACTTCTGATCACCAAATTATTGAGCAAAGTTGCCTAAATCTTTTTCATCATATATATTTTTTAAATATGGTGTTTCAAGGTCTGAGGATCATGGTTCACAGCCAGCCTGGGCAGGAAAGTCCATGAAGCTCTTACCTCCAATGAAGCACTAAAAAAGCTGGAAGTGGAGCTGGGCCTCAAGTGGTAAAGTGCTAGTCTTAAGCAATAAAAACTCAGGATCAGTGCCAGGGACCTGAGTTCAAGCCCTAAGACCAACAAAGTATATATAAATATATATATATTTCATATTTTCTTGAAATGGTTTGATTTTTAAGACAATGTTATTATTAGTTAAATAGAACTACTTACAAAAAGGTACCATGGAAGGAAGAATGATAAAGCTGTAAAGTTTTCTATTAAAGGTGAGTTAGAAATCTAGAAGAGTTTCTAGCAGTATAAGCCAATGGAATTCCTTTGTCCTATTAAGAATTATTATTTACCCTCTCTGTTTGCGCTCATGTTTATCAATATATCTTTATACATGCCATAGTTTTGGATTAAATTTTTTAACGATCTACTACTGCTCAGCATATCCAAATTTACTGATCCTCAGTGGATGTTAATTCCACAGTTGAACATTACTGTTTCCTCACTCTGATTACCAGTTTCTAGCTGGGGCTCCTGTTTGTGGTAAAACAGCTGCCCCTTAATCAACATGTGATTAAGACACGTGGCTTGTCCTTTGCCTCTTACGAATGTGGATATAGAAATACTTCTTGGGGTCCTAGCTTTCAATTCTTTTGGATGTATGTTCCAGAAGTAGAGTTGTTAGCTCATACAGTAGCACTGTGTTTTAAAACTGTCTTGACCGCCACATTGTTTTCCTAGAGACTATACCATCTTCCATTCCATCTTCCAACAGTATCGGAATTCTAGTTCCTCCACATCCTTACCAAAAGCTGTCATTTTTCTGGGCTTTCCCCCAGCTTTTAATAGTAGGATTAATAAATATCAGCAGCTAAGTTTTTACACCCTTCTTTCGCATCATCTTAGTCACTTTACAAAATAAGCTTTCACTGTACATGTTTGATAGGTGTTTTCATGTTAATTTTATATGGTCACATAGTCAGTTATGAAGTGTAGAGAATAGAGACTAAAGGTCTTCACCAGATGGAGATTTTTCTCTAAATCCCTTCTCTCCATTAATTTTAAATTTAATGTTGTGAGTTTATGACACAAACACACTGCTTAGCATTCACAGCTTTTATTCTTTCCTCCAGAAAATCCATTCCTCGTTGCCGAAGAATTAACAGGATGCTCTCCAATGAGTCCCTACATTCCCCTGCATTTAGCCGCTCCAACTCTCAAGCTTCAGTAGACAGTGCATCTATGGAGGACTTCTGGCGGGAAATAGAGAACCTTAAAGAGCACAGCATCCTGGAAGGACAGGAGGAACAGCCGTCCACTCCCACTGAGGTCAAGCCTCTGGATGGTAAGGGGCTATACTTGTCCTGTATGTGTTATCTTTTCCTTTGTGTGCTATCTATTGTCCTGTTGACAAGCAGAATCACTCCATCAGTAGTTCAGAGACTCACCCTGTAGAATTTGGCCCAACCACCTGCTCTACTAGACTTAAATTTACACAACTAGCACAAGGATAATGCCAAGGTGACCTGAGCTGAAGGAGTACTGCACTTCAGTAGCATCCAGATCAGCCCCTTACATATCACTAGATAAGGACTCTGTTATTTGTCATTGAGCAGATGGAGTATTCTATTTTGGGTGTTTGTTTTTGGTGACTGGATTACTATTGGTGGGAAGGAGTGTGTGTGTGTTTGTGTGTATATGTGTGTGTGTGTGCGTGTGCACGTGTGCATGTGTGTGCACATGTGTGTGTGTGAGAGAGTGACAGAGACAGAGAAAGAGAGACAGAAGATAAACAAAGAGGAGGAATGAGAATATTCCAGTACAATTTTGGAGACTAAAACTGACTATGAAGCATTCCCTGGTATTATTAATGTATTATAGTTACCTAGTTTGTATGAAATAATGTTTACTTTAAATATTCTAGACTAAACTGAAAGAAGTTGATGGTCAAAACAAATGTATGTAATTGTACCTGGCTATCAGAGAAGGCAAAACTCCTTACCTGTAATTAAAAGAATTGGTTATCGCTTCTAGGCCTAGTTGTTGCTAGGTGAATATATAAGATGTCTATTAGCCAGTGATTGATTGTCCTCAAAGCAATAGGATAAACTGAAATGTTAAAAACCTTCTTGGCTATGGGAGGTGAGCAGTGGCCTATATACCCTTATCCCAGATAGGTTAGAGGCTGAGGTAGGAAGATCTGCGTCTGAGATGGCCTGGGCAAAAGCCTGAGACTCTATCTGAAAAACGAACTAGGGACCTTACTACCCTGAACCGGCCAAATGTCATGTAACTGAAAAACTAAAGCTGAAGGACTGTGGGTGTGGCTTAAGTGGTACAATACTTTCTATCAAGGGAACCCTGAATTCAATCTCCAGTATCAGGAAACAACAACAAAAAAAGGTGTTTTAATTCTTCATTCTCTTTTCTACAAATCTGTCTTTCACTGAGAAGTGATAATCCGGATAAAGCTCAGTTAGGAGACTCCCTACAGCATAAAAACAGACCACCTTGCATACATTTTATGAGAACCCTTGCAAGAGAACCATCCTGTCAGTGAAGTGCATTCTTCCTTCCCTTTGCTTACTTCCTTACCTCTCATCTTTTCTAATGCAGAAAAATAGATAGATATAAAGAAAACACCATGTATACAATATCACTTTTCTTTTGCCTAGTGATCTATATTAAGAACTATGTCTTCTGAAATCATCATAAGGATCTGGTACTTGATTCATGGATAAAGAAAACAGGCTATGTGTACATATTGCAGTACTTCTGGTCTTAAAAAAATAAAGATCTGCCAAGTGCTGGTGGCTTACACCTATAATCTTAGCTACTCAGGAGACTGAGACCCAAGGATCATGGTTTGAAGCCAGCCCAGGCAGGAAAATCCTGACTCTTATCTCCAGTAAACTAAAAAAATCAGTAAGTGTAGCTGTGGCTTACGTGGTAGAGCACTAGCCTTGAGCAAAAAAGCTCAGGGACAGTGCACAGGCCCTGAGTTCAAGCCCTAGGACTGGCACCAATAAAAATAAAATGAAGACTTGTCACTTGTGAAGTAAAATAAATGAAGTACAGGAAGCCAAACACTATATGATCTTAATAGAGGAGTGTGCAAAGGTTGAACTCATACAGGTAAAGAGCTCTTTATCAGTAAGGAGCAGAATGGTTGCTGCTGATCACACTGGTCTTGAGAGTGCTATGGAAAGTGTCTAGTAAAGTACACAGCTGCTCTTTTCCTATTTATAACTCTCTTCTCCATCAGTGGGCAACTGGACCCCAATCTCTACCATGTATTTACGTTCACTCACACTTAAAACACATGGAAAATATTTTCAAGCTTACTAGTCTAAACTGCTACAAAACATAGACCTACTAACTAGAATTGAATATTTATTGACAGACACTTAATTTTTTAAAGATCTATGAGATTCTCATCTCCAAAAGCAATAGAAGTAGAGCTTTGACTCAAGTGGTAGCGTGCACAAAAGCTCAGGGGCAGAGCTTAGACCCTGAGTTCAAGCTCCAAGACACAGCACACACACACACACACACACACACACACACACACGTCTTGACCTGCCATATAGCTAGGACTATTGATATGTGCCATTGCACAGTTTATGGGTTACGATCTTGCTAACTTTTAACTTGGTCTGACCTCAAACTATCCTCCTCTGATCTCCACACCTAAAGTAGCTGAGATTATAGGCATTAACCACCTCATTCAGCTCTGTCCTTGAAGTATTTGTACAGATCTTAAGTGTATCATTCAATGATCTTTGACAAACGAATGTACTCTTAAAACCTCACACTGATCAAGGCAGATAATATATCAATCAATGCATAACATCTCCTTTATCAAGGCAATGACACACTATTCCTGAGCCAAGGCAGCCACGATTCCAATATTTGGGCATCACAAGTTTTTAAGTGTCTGTCTTAGTTAACTAAACTAAACCTTATATGTCTAAGATTCAGCTATTATATCAATAGTTCACTCCTTTTGGTTTGTGGGTGGTTTGTGTTAGTTACTAGGGCCACCTTAACATACCATGATCTCCTCTCAGTTGTCACAGGATACAGAAGTCTAGGAGGTGTCTCTGTGGAATGTAGGGGACAATCTCCTCTAAGCTCTTTCCTTGGTTTCTAGTGAAGCTGGCAGTTCTTGGTGCTTCTCAGCTTATAGACAATACCGTGCCATTCTCTACCTCCATAGTCACTTTGCCACAGTGCATGTTCTCTGTCCTTTCTCCTCTTCAGATACCAATGACCGGGAATTAAGGGCTCATTCTGCACCAGATGACCTCATCTCAACTTTTTAAAGTTTTTGTTTGGAAGTTGTTTCTTTTTTTTATTTATTGAAGTACAATCAGTCAAGTTAGAATTATGTACTTTTATGAAATACAACATGATATTCTAATGACTGTATTGGACCTATATCATATGTACATCTGTAAAGACCGCTTCCAAATAATCTTTCATTCACAGGCGCCAAGGGTTAAGATTTTATAACTCTGGTGGAGGATACAATTCAAACTTTCATGGTAGCATTTCATTATAAGAATGTGTCACATATTTAATCAACTTCCATGTTAATAGAATTGTGAAGTTTTCATTGTTGTCATTGTTGCTTAAAAAATTGGGCCATTATGAATAAGATTGCTATGAATTAGTTTGTAAAAATCTTTTGTGGACACATATTTTTATTTCTCTTGGATATGTGCATTTTTGTAGATTATACTGTTTCATATTCTTCCCAGGAGGTTAATGACACACAGTTCCTTCCCCATATCTTTGAAACATTTCTTGCCAGTTTGCTTAATATAAGTAAATAACTCATAGCATCAAACAGATTTTTCCTGTAATTAGTGTACATTCATGTATGTGGTTTTATGAAGTCTTATGACTGTCTTTAGAAACTATCATTTTAAGATGGACACTTACAATTCTAGCTACTCAGGAGGCTGAGATCTAAGGATCACGATTTGAAGACAACCTAAGTAGGAAAGTCTTTGAGACTCTTATCTCCAATTAACTCCCAAAAGCTGGAAGTGAAGCGGTGGCTAAATGGTAGAGCTCTAGTCTAGGACAGGTCCTGAGTTCAAGTACTCAGTACTGGCACACACACACACACACACACACACACACACAGAGTCACACACACTCACAGTCACACACACAAACCTACAAAAACCCTGTTCTTTAATTAGTGATGTGATTTGCATGAATTTTTTTACATATTCTGGATACAAGTTTTTGTAAGATACATGAACTGCAAATATTCTCACCCTGTCTGTATTTCTCCATGGACTTAATGGAGATCATTAAAAGTCACTCTGTTTTCCTCTCTCTCTCTCTCTCTCTCTTGGTCACCTCTCTCTCCTCCCTTTGTCACAGTTTGCTACAAGAATATAGAAATATAGTCAATTTTTGTATCTGTTCTTATACATCATTACCTTCCTAAATTCATTTACTAGTAGTTGTCTACTTTAAAATCTTTTAGGGTTTTTCTGCATACAAAAAGAAGTTGCCTATGACTAGAGACAGAAGCCTTGTAGCAAAACAGAACAAGGAGATTCTGAGTTTCCAAAGCAGGCCAGTATCACTGGAGAACAGGAGGCAAGGAAAGAATGGTATGAATATGCCCTGTAGACCATGTTAAAGCCGGAGGGGAGGGGGAACCCATCGCACTATTGTCATTTTCATTTTGAAATGTTGAAAAATGGGTTGGAAATGTATCAAGAATGATTGTAGGGAGAACTTTTGGTAATGTAGCTGAGTCAAAGATAAGGTTAGCTTAGCTCTGTGTGTGTGTGTGTGTGTGTGTGTGTGTGTGTGTGTGTGTGTGTGTGTGTGTGTGTGTGTGTGTTCAAACATGCGCCTTGGTACTTGAACTGGGGGCCTAGGGTCTGTCCCAGAACTTTTTGCACTTGAGCCACAGCTCCACTTCCAGCTTTTTGGTGGCTCATTGGTGGAAGCTGGTATAATAGTTCACAGCTGTAATCTCAAGGCTCAAGAGGCTGAGGCAGGGAGACTGGGAGTTCCAGGCTAATCTGGGCAACAAGAGAGTTTGAGGCCATCCCGGTCTACATAGTGAGACTCTTTGTCCATTAAAAAATAACAAAAACAAAAAACAATTGTAGGCTTTCCCTCTTTCCCTCTCACTCCTCCCTTCCCATTGCTGTCTTTGGGTTGCTTAGTTCTTTTTCTTCCATGTGCAGTACAGCTGATGGGCCCCTTTGTTGTATGTTGTTCCATTTCCCACTCCTGGCTTCCCTCTGTTGCGTGCATATATCTACCATATATATGGTCAAGAACCTGAAGTCATTTAGTAATGATACGACAAAATGGGTGGCTGTCCTTTGTTTCTTGAGTCCTGTTTACTTTGTCATATCTTCCTGTATTTTGGCTTTAGCATCCACATATCTGGGAGACCATGTGCCCTTTGTCCGTTTGTTCTTGGTTTACCTCACTCAAAATAATTTGCTCTAGTTCCATCCATTTTCCTGCAAATGCTATTATTTTGTCCTTTCTAATGTCTGCATAATATTCCATTGAATATAAGTACCACAATTTTTGGATCCACTCATCAGTAGTGGGGCCTACACTAAGCAAAAGGAAAGAAATGTAAACATCATATGATATGGAAAAAATAATTTGTACTGTCAAAGCCCATCGAATTCACAAACTGTGTAGACCATGATAATGACAATGTGCCTTATGAAGGTTAAAATGTGTTTGTGACTTTAAGTATCACTATTCCACAATACTGTGAAATATATGAAATTTATGTAATCACCTTACCTCAATTTTTTTTTAAAGTGAGAGAAGGGATGGGTTAGGAGCTATGGGTAACAATGTTGTCAGACACCTTGTCCTCATATACTGTTTTGTAGAATGGGAACCTCTTTGTTCAACTAAAGACAATAAAAAGACAATAAAAATTTTAAAAAACATAAAAATGTGTTAAATTTCTCCAAAAAATTGAAGTTAGAGGATTTGAAATTTATTAAAGAGGTAATAAGAAAATGCCTTGGTGATATGTTGATGTGTAAAAGGGAGGAAGATATCAAGAATATCTCCTAGGACCTTGCTAGCCTATTGCTTGCTTAGATGGTAGGTTTTAAGTGCTAAAATGTGGAAGAGTGAAAGAGGCCTAGAGCTGTGAATGAAGAGTATATAACCTCAGGTTTGAACATGTTTGGACATGATGTGGTAGACTAAGCCAAGTAGCTATTGAGTAGGTAGTTGATTTTGTGGAGCTGGAATTCAAAGGAGTGCTCTGGATTCAAGTTCCACACTTGACAATTAGAGTACAGAACATACACTCAATCCACATAATTCAGCAAACAGCAATCGCTATGTCTTACCTAGGGAATACATATTCCACAAAGGCTTCACCCAGTGAAAAGTTCAAGGATTTAGACCAACTTCTCCTTGACTTTATCTTAACTTACCTGCAGGTTACTCCTTCCTCCTACTCCTTTATTAACACCTTACAGAAGTAGACAGAGAAAAAAGAATCTAACATTTAACACCATGTTCAGTTATATTCATAAACTTTTAGCTTTAGAAATGAAAATCTTAGACTTCATCACCCACTGACTTTAAAGTTATTTTAGGTTAGGACTGTGTATAATAAATGCACCTTTCATTTTCTTTGAAAGAGACAGCTTACAAAGCAAACAAACAATAAAAACAAGATGGCAAATCAAATGTTTGGCTGGTTGAGAAATTGGGCTGTTGGAGTACATTAGAAGTCTTTGTTTATATCCCAATGATGTAATAATGTAAACAGAGTCCAGGCCTGCTAGATTGGGCTTTGACATGTGTTTACATATCAATCTAATCTGCTCTTTAAACAACCCTCATTCAGGCACTACTTGCTTAGCATCCTACCCAGCAATGCGTGTGTAGTGGATTTGCCATGCCAGGATGTTATCATCCTTAATTCCTTTTATTATTGTACATTCCTCTTACAATGGAGTTAATTTACACAGATGAATCTTGGGTTTTGGACTTGTATTCTAAAAAAATAGACTGAAAATTCCCATGTTCAGAATAAAGTAAATATGTAGAAGAATAAACAATCTGATGAATACCCCATTTTATTCCAAATTTCTTTGCCATCTTAACAAATACATTGCTTACAAAACAATCTAATACCCAGCCACTACCTAATACTTTATGCTCAATGTTGGATAACCATCTCATTAGGAATTATACTTTCTGTCACGATAGTGGCTACAAACTCTAGCCCTGTCCTGATGGAGCTCCAGAGGAGATAGTTGTGGATGCTTCCATTTATTCCATTCACAGGAAACTGCTTCATCTTGGTGGGAGACTTGATGGTGTGGAAAAGTGGCCAAACTATGACCAGACGGCCTGCTGCCAGAGCACTTGTTTATTCTGGCATGTACCCTTGTAACTCTTGTCTAATCTTGTCCAGTTCATCCCTACCAAGACAATCTTTCTCTAGAAGAGCTTGGGCTGGGAAAGAAGTTAAGTTTGTGTATGTTGATCAGTAAAGACTCGTGAAATAACAAAAGCAGTATATGACTCACAGATCCTAGAGAGAGGGGGTTTAGTGAGCTGTGCAGAGATAAAGAGGAGGGAAGCCACCTAGGACCTGAACACTCAACCAGTAGATGGGAAGTAAGAGAGAAGGAGCGTGGTACCTAAGGGCTGAAATCCTCCTTGTGGCCTAAGGCAGGTTTCTCCATGGGGAGCTCCACTTGGTGGATTTGGAGTAGGTTATGACCGAGACATGGCCATTGATGAGTGCTTGGCAGGTGGAGGTCAGTGTAAGTGAAGTAAGTTGCACGGGCTGTCCCACAGAAGGGTGACCACCAGAAGCATGTTGTATAATGCAGATGTCTAGATAGATGCATTGAGGATCCTGGAGGACATGGGAAACTGGGACTTATCCAGTGTTGGAGCCTAAGAGAAAGTTAAACATAACCAGAATGCCTGCCAGGCAACAGAAAAGTGCAGGACCTCATTACCCCCGTTTTGCTAATAAGAACACTAAAGCTTAGACATATCTTAACATATAACAAAAATTACTTAGCTAGTAAGTGATCATTCTGGATTTGAACCTGCTTTAAAAAGAAACCCTTTGTGTTCCATTAAACCATGCTTCTTCGGTTATGATTTTAATCTAAATATTCATATATAGCTTATATTTAAGTCTCTGGCAAGGAAAATGTCTTCTTCAAGTTACCCAGTTAACTGTGCTATACTAGATGATATTTTCAAATGCCACATATTAAAACTAGAATCTGGACATTTCCTTCACTGTTGTTGGAGCCCTTTCTCATAACTCCAGCAGAAGTCCCATATTGTTGACAAGTCTCCCTTGCTGTATGATATGCACAGACCTACAATCGTGTAGAAATGTCTTACACTTCTCTTGGCCATATTACATCACAGAAGGAGAACTTGAAGCAGAGTGGCTACAAGATGTGGGTCTGTCTACTCTGATCTCTGGTGATGAAGAGGAAGATGGCAAAGCCCTGCTTTCAACCTTGACTCGAACGCAAGCAGCTGCAGTAAAGAAGAGATACAACACCTACACCCAAACCATGAGGAAAAAGAACAAGCAGTCTGTGCGGGATGTCAGAGATATCTTTGGAGTCAGTGAATCTCCTGTAAGTATGAATGGGTAAATAGAGGTTTTAGTTTTATTTGGATGGAAAAAAATATCACAACAGGCTGGTTCCATCCTAGCTGTCAGAGAAAACTAAAGCAGACAGCACATACATTTTATAAACTTGAATTCAAGTGATCATTCCTTACCTCCTATGACTGTATTCTCCCTCCAAAACATATTCACTCCCTTCTGTGTTGAAGCTGGGGAGTAATTTCTTTGGCAGTGGAACATTGGAAATTCTGTGGATTCTCAGGGAAATAACCTAAGATTGTAAGCAAGTTCAAGTGAGTTGTTTTAAATGAGGGGATGGTAAGTAGGGTAGCATTTCTGTTTACAAAATCAACATAATAAAAACAAAATGAAAGATACTAGAATTAAATGGGCATGGGCAAAAGGATCTCTATGTCTCCCTCTCTCCCTCCCACCCTCCCTCTCTCTCTCTCTCTCACACACACACACACACAGAAGAAGCATGGCATGTTTTAAGAGAAATGACTGGTTGAAGTTCCAGCTCACCCTATCTGTTCCATGGTAATCAATTTTCAGAAGTGGGAGTCATTTCTCTTGTTCCGACACTGGTTTATTGCTAGTTCTGCCTTACAACTCCTTCCTTCCTCCACTTACTGCATCCTTGCAATGTTTCACTGCAGTAACTGCACTGTGATTCAGCATGTACCGATTGAACTCATTCTCTGCACAATCTGCCGTGAGGTTCTACACAGAATTCTTGGAACTTCGGAAATGTTTAGTATATTTCAAGAAGGAAATTTGATATCCTGCTTGGGGCAAGTTGTTCAATCACGTTGATTTAGGTTTCTTATCATTTCGTTGTAATATCAGTGGTTAAATACTGCCTCCCAATTTGAGTCACTTTATATTGTAGTCCTCTTGTCTGTTAGATATGGTAATCATAAAGGATAGTTGCCCAGATGCTCACATATGCTTAATTAACCTTTGCATTTGTGATAATACTATCCTCACATTCTTTAATAAAACTTCCCAATGGTCCATTTTCCTTCTGTCTCAATAAGCATACCTATACTTTTCAGGTTCCCTAAGACTTTGGATTTGTACAAACATAAAAATAGTATGTAGCCCCCAGTCACATGTACGAGGAACTGACTGAAGTATGGCTTGTTATGGCTAAGAAACTGAACTTTTAGCCTTGTTTAACCTTAACTGATTTAAATTTAAACAGTCACTTATAAGCTTATAGCTTATGTACTGAACAGTCCAATTCTAGAATCTTTGCAATTATGATATACTTGTAGGTAACCACATTTGAGTTCTCGGCTGTTTGAACTTCAATTTAGTTAAAAACCTATGGCTTTCTGAATGGTGGAAATTTTCTACAGCTATCATTGAGTAAAGATGGCTCCCACAGTTGAGTCCAAGACATAACTGCTGATGTCCTGGTCAAAATGTCTATCAAAGAAAAGGTTTGTCCTGATTGTTGAAAAATCCCAGGCTCATTTCTTTAGTTGTCTATGGAATCATCTTGTGAGGTCTTCAATACTTTTCTTCTATACTTCCTTTCCCACATGGATGTCTATCTACTTCAGATCAAGTAGATGAAATAGATATGAAATAAATGATATAGAATGAGATTGTAGGCTTTTCCTGAATCTTTAGTTTTTAAGCAATCCATATCTACTTTTTCCTGGTTTCCTGAGACTTTGTATTTTTAGTAACATGAAAAATAGTGAGGTAAGGAATCTTCTTTGTAAACTTCTCTCTTATTTGACATTCCCTGACAAAGTGGGCATTTGCTCAGTGGAGCTTTTAAGTATAGAAAGAAATGAAGTCATTGACTTCTTTGAAACACATAGGTGTAATTGACAACTTCCAACTCCAAGAATGGTGGAGATAACATTTAGCTAAGTTCATGTGTAGGGAAGGGAATAGTCCTGGGACCTTCCTCTGTCTTCTTTTCCTGCTCCTTTTCAGATCTTTCTGCTATATCCCCCATTCTAGAGGGGGAATGGGGAATGGGGTCTAAGGCAGTGAATGATGAAAGATAAAAGAAGAACCATGTATTTCAGGGAGTAAAGAGGTCTTACTACAGGGAAGGGGCAGTCAGAGAGATCAGTCAGTATAAGCCTGGTATTGTGTACGCAGCTTTAAAAAATTCAGATTGTTCCTTGTCAGCTATATAAACCTAGCCTTTGAAGAAGATGCTACATATTTACTATATAGTAAAAGGGATATATCGAAAGAGAAAGATATCAACAGTGCCATGCAAAAAAAAAAAAAAAGTCAACAGATCAGATAAAGGAACTGAGTAGAATGTTAGAAAAAGTAATTCAGGCATTGTATAAAACATGTGGGAGAAGAAAGATCTATTTACCTTGAAATAATGAAGAAAAAAGACACTCTTAAATTTAGGAATGAATAGTTAAGTCTGCAAATAACTACACGTTCCACCTGTACTTTCTCTAACAAAACACAAACAAACAAAACAGTTGTAGCCACAGCCAGAAGTCAAAATCTGGGGAAATCTGTGGGAAGTCTCATGTCACCTTCTACAGATCTTTCAGTTGTTGATTTCATTCTCTTCATTATATAATATTTGATATTTTAGTACTTTTTTATAAATGGGAATATCTTGTGGGAAGCAGCGTTGGGCTATTTTAAGGTTCAGTACCTCATGGGGAACCTTGTCATATCTTCTAAGTGTGAAAGTAGTATGTTATGTAGCACAGGAATGAACCAGTTTCATTAGAGTCATGCAATATATTTTGGCGGGGAGGATTGTTTTTTGGGGGGCTAAGGATTGAGCCTTGAGTCTCGCACATGCTTAACATAGTGCACTCTTCCCTGAACTACATCTGCAGCATACTTCCTTGTCCATTTTGTTTTATCTTTTTGTGGGTATGTTTGCCAGTACTAGGGCTTGAACTCAGGGCTTGGGCACTATTCCTTAGCATATTTGCTCCAAACTAGTACTCTACTATTTGAGCCACAGCTTCACTTCTGGCTTTTAGTGGTTGATTGGAGATAGATTTTCTTACCCTGACAAGACCCAAATCTTGATTCTCAGATCTTAGCCTCCTGAGTATCTAGGATTACAGGCATTTTAGCCGCTAGTGCCCAGCTCTTTTTTGTTGTTCTCTTTAAATACTTGTATAGAGAGATTTCAACTCAACATGTCAATTATGTGAACAATGAATCCTGACTCCGTGTCCATTTTAATACCGAGTTTGAATCCAAGTTCGTAACCACCTGTAGAGCTGTTTCAGGAGAAGAATTTATCTTCAGAAGTAAATTCATGCCCCAATCTGTCCCACTTGGTATGGGGCTTGAGTCACCTTAGAGCTAGTGCCCCGGTCCCTTTGTGCATGAGGGACTGAGGATGGATGTGGGTTTGTTGTTGGCTCCTTTCAATTAGATTCATGGTATCAGACAGTTCACCGTGGGAGATGTTCTTCTATGATACTTTAGTGGTTTCCTCCTCTTTCCTTTTTACTTCCTACTACACACAGAGAGAATCTTTTCTATTACAAGAATAACCTGTGTACCATTGATGAAGATGGCAATGACATTTGTTCTCTGGGGTTTATTTCCTATATGTGACATGAGGCAGTGTGTCTGCACTTATAACTTTGCACTTACTTGGGCTAGCTCTCTGTTCCTTTCAGGATTTGATGAATGGTTTGGTGGTGGCCTGTTTGTGTTCTGGCTGCTTCTGTGGCCTGAGGGTATCTGAGGATGGAAGAAGGGTGGTTGATCAGTGGGAGCTGTGAGTGGTCCCATTGTGCTCATCTCTTCTGCTTATTGTTACTTCATTTCATTCATTCTATTTCTCCTAAGGGGGGGCAACTACATCTGCTCAGAGGTCTTTGCATTTTCCATGAAGTTGGCAGCAGGTGGCTCCAGGTTCTGTATTCTTCCCTGCATGAGGCGTCTAGCCAGTAACTTGACCCCCATGCTATTTAGTCTTCTCAGCTTTCTCCATTCCCCTGATAGCAGCCAGAGGATGGAGCAAGTCAGAATAGATACTTATGTCTAAATAATGGGTTTATTTCTTTTTATTGACACAAGGTTTTACTATGTCATAGACCAGGCCGGCTTTGAACACACAATCCTCCCACATCACCTCCTGAATACAGGCATGACCACCAGGCTCCAGTAAATTAAAGGTTTCTATGAGCCTTTTACCCTGCCGAATTCTACCCACCATTTTGATTTCACACTCTTTACCCCAGGGTTATGAGGATGAATGAGGACACAACACTCAGAACTGGACATGTGAGACTGAGAGCAGGTAGTCACACATACTCTCTGCCTAGGGAAGAAGACACTGCCTGCCTTACCTGCACACCCAGAGTTGAACAACCAGAGTTGTAAGGTATCAAGCAGACAGGGGCCTGGTTCACACAGGAGGGCGTGATTGGCTTGAGTAAAGAACTCTACAGGCAGTGGGAACAGAATCCTCCTGCTCAGGGGTAAGAACTGGGTCTTGCCCCTGGATAAGGCGGGTTGGTTGGCTCCCACCTGACCTGTGGTAGCAAAGTGAAGAAGGGAGCTCCCAAGTTTATCAGATATCAAGGCAGTAAATAATAACATTGTGTCTCCTAAACCCATCATAACTAAATTGAAATTATTACGTTAAAAGTATGTTGTAGAGCCCAGCTCTGGTGGCTCATACCGTAATCCTAGCTATTCAGAAGGCTGAGATCTGAAGCTTGCAGTTTGAAGCCAGCCCAAGTATGAAAGTCCATGAGACTCTTACCTCCAATAAACTACTCAGAAAGAGCTGGAAGTGGTGCTGTGGCTCAAGTGGTAGAGTGCTAGCCTTGAGCAAAAGTCACTCAGGGATAGTGCCTAAGCCCAGAGTTCAAGCCTTGAGACCAGAAAAAAAAAAAAGCAAAAATACCCCAAAGCATTGTAGTTTATAACCTATTAAACACCACAGTTTGCAGTTGCTAAACTGCAAACTGCAAATGTGGATTGGCCATTCTTTCACCCAGAGACCCTGTGGCTGCCTGAGCTGCAGTTTTGTGACAAAAAGCTCCGGAAAAGATCCAAATTCCAAACTCCACACCTGGTTTCTGCTGAACACACCTTACTTTCATACCAAGAGATCCTAAGATACTTTATTGCAAGTCCATGAAGTTCTTCCTCACAGGCTAGTATAATCAAATGGTACAACAATAAATACTCATCTTTCATAATCACATAAAGGTTATATTTGAGCAAACTGTACCGTTCGCCTTTGAGCCTGTCTGCAGATACAAAGTCTTGATACTAAATTTTTATACTCAAAAAAACGTAAATCATAAATTAGTGAGTTTGAAACTACTAGGTGCAAAAGCTACTTCCTTCAGAAGTTTGTAGATACTGCTTTGCTTTTTTTCTGATGGTATTATAGTTGAACTCAGATGCTCTACCACTGAACCATGCTCCAGAGCTCTTTTACGCTGGTTAGTTTGAAATAGGGTCTTGCTTTTTGTTCAGACTTGCTACTAAATGATTTTCCACTTCCTGTCAGCGCTGGGAAACAAGTGCATACCACAGAACGCAGCTCACTCTTCCTTTGAGATAGAATCTAATGAATTTTCCACCTAGACTGCCCTGAAACCTTTGTCCACAGTCTTAGTCTCCTAAGTGGCTGAGACTACTGGTATGAGCCACCATAGCCTAGCTCATTTGCTTTATTATTAAGAAGTGTTTTTCATTGTTTGGATTATTTTCATATTTCTTACATAGTTTCTTATATTTGTCAGATCTTCTTTTCTCTGTTTGTTTTATCTAGTCTGTATCATTTAGTAGACTCTCAATTCTAATTTTTATCATTGGTGATTATAATTTAGCCCTTAAATTTTAAATTCAGCCAATCATACTGTTCCTTTTTACTGATTTCTCTTCCCTTGGCTATATTTTCTCATATATAGTTACAGTAGTCTCTTAGTCTCTCTGAAATTCCTAAATTATTATGTTTTCTTTTTTTCCTATCTTTCTTCTCAATTGTGTTTTAACTTGAATGTATAGCACTGCATTCCTTTTTAAAAATTTTGTTCAACAATTGAATTATACTTACTAATTAACTAGTGAATGACTTAAAATTTGTTGCTGCTGGGCTGGGAAGGTGGCTTAGTGGTAGAGTGCTTGCCTTGCGTGCATGAGGTCCTGGGTTCTATTCCTCTGCACCATATACGCAGAAAAAGCCGTAAGTGGCACTGTGGCTCAAGTGATAGAGCGCTAGTCTTGATCCGAAGAGCTGAAGGACAGTGCCCAGGCCCACAGTTCAGGCACCACGACCAACACACAGACACACACACAGACAGACACAGATACACACACACATACACACTGTTGTGTGTGTGCTGCTGTGTTTTCTCTACCATCATTTCTCCCAAAGAAAATGAAAGGGCTGACTAGGTCCTGTGTAAGTCACATATTTACACAGTATGTGAGTGTCAGTTTATAGCACACATTCATGAGAGCACACACTTACTCCACTTTGCATTGATGTAAAGGAAGTTCACAGACTGGTAATTGTATAAAGAAGAGAGGTTTATTTCTTATACTTCTGGAGTCTAGGGTGTCCAAATTGAGGGACTAGACCCACATCTGGTAGGAGCTTGTGTTACATCACCCCATGATAGAAGGTAGTAGGAGGGAAGGAAAGAGAGAGAGATAAAAAGAGAGAGAGGAGGGCGGGAGAAAGAGGGGAAGAACAAATTCTTCATTTCATTACAAATTCATTCACAAAATAACCCAGTTCCAAGATTGCAGCATTAATCTGGTTCATAAGTGCAGATCCTCCCATCCTTGTGACCTCTTAAAAGCTTCACCTCTTAACACTGCTGCTGAATATGCTATGCTGTCTGAGATACTCATTGACCACAGCTCAAGCACACACCTTTAGTTCCAAAAGGAAGGACCTCATTTGTTTATATACCACACATGGCTGATGTTTTGTGGAAGTCCAGAATGACCTGATGTTGAGGTCTGTTCTGGTCCCCAGCCTAGACTGCTGTCCTGGAAATCTGCCCAAAGAAGGTAGCCAACCCAACTGAGTGCCTCTCTTGGGTCCACATGTATCTACTCCCTGTTGTTCAGTATTATAGTGGCCAGCAGCTGGTCTGTCTGGGTCCACAGTTGAGAAAACACTTCTACAATAAATTATCCTGACAGTTGCCCTTTGTGTTTTGCACTCTGAGCTTATTGATTGTTTTTTATGGTTCGTTTCTTTCCTTGACATCAGTGTTTTCATATGTTATTCTTAAGCCAAGAATGTCTCTAGTTACCAAACATATTTCTAGTAGGTTCTAACAATCTCTGATCTGTTGATAGACCATTGTGTTGGTTCTGGTGCTGTTCTGAGTCTATTCTTACAAACCACAACAACAACACTTGCTTTCTTGATACTGAGTTATCCTCCCGGCCTGCCCAGATGCTGCCTCTGGAGCATCTGTTTCACTTCAAAACAGATATGTGTTTTCTTATTAATATAACATATACACTTTATATAGACTATATATAGACAATAGAGGGAAGCAAGAAGAAATATAATAGTTTTTAAGGTTCTACCTAGCAGCATATGACTTTAGTAATGCCCAATATGCTTAATTTTTCAGAATCTGCTTGAACCATGGCATATAATATTTGCACATTATTTGGGGGATACCTTTATGATGAAAACTGCTCATTTTAGAGCTTATGCACATGGCCTGAGGTACAGTTCATCCTTGTCAGAACTTACTCTCCAAACACAGTTTCTGCATATGAATAAGAGAGCTTTGCATATATCCACACCGTATGAAGTCATTAACACAATGTATTTTCAGTTTCCTAATCGCAAAGAAAACTGGCTGTTCTTGTTATGGACTCAGAAACTATTGAAATACATTCATAAAGTCTGTTTTGCAAAAGCATGATTTTGGGGGTAAGCTGTATCATTAGAAATTTGTCAATTTAGTTTTCATAAAATAGGAAGCTCAAGGAAGGAAAGGCAAGGCTGATTGACAGCTCTGGTTTGGATCAACCAACTTTCTCATTTTTCCTTTCTGTTCCCTTTGCATAGGGGTAAGTATTCAATATTACTGGGTGTCTAACAGCACAGGCACTAGGCCCTGGCGTCCATGGTTCCTGGAAGAAGCATCTGTTTTGGCCAAAAACACTGAAGCTTCCTGGGCTCGTTACCAAGTAGAATTCCACTTTGATCTCATTAGATGTAGCTCTCACAGGATAACACTTGATCTTTTTAGTAAGACATATAGCATCTTGGAGCAAAAACTATGACATTTGTGTGTCAAAGAGGCAAAGAAAAGGAGGTTTTGGCAGTTAGCTAGATATGTCTGCTTCTGAGACCAGTTCATTTACAGAGCATGACATTTGTGAGCATCATGATTATGGATATACTGCTAAGTATTGCTATCAATATATGTGAACATTAGCTGCATGAATCTCCTCACAGCTATATGTACACACACACACACACACACACACACACATACCCCTTAGTAGTGCATAAAGGAATATACAGTCGCATAAAGGAATATACAGTCACATTTGCAATTCTAGACTTGCATAAAAAGATACGTCACTAATGGTCTTTTTTTTAAGGCCTAACTCAATGATCTGAGACTTTCCTTTTTGCAAGATTGAATGTTATATTTTCATTTTTTCCTGATTCAAAGTAAAAACAATCTCTTAGGAGGCTCTCATTTCTTTCATTAGCCAGATGACTCTTGTGACAACCATGCCACTCCGTTGGAAGGCACTGAGGAAGAAAAAGAACTACCAGAAGTTCCCAAAACAAGAGGTTCTTCGGTAAGTTCTGGGAGGAGAATGAACCGGAGGTGGGAATGCAAGAAAAAACCATTTCTTCCAGACAGTTATGTATCACAATCGAGGTGTTGGACAACCACAGCTGTGAACATATCTAACTTGAATCAATTTGTAAGAAAAAAATTCAGCAGTTAATGAGCACAAGTTTAATGGGAAAACCCCAACATGACCATATATTCTAGAGAATCAGTATATACCTAGTATCTCAATGATTATATTTCTCTTTTGAAAGATCACATACTCTTTTACATTTTTTTCAATTAACAAATTCTCTTAGGAGAGAAAATGATGGAAGGAGGTCTGAATAAAAAAGGAAATAGCAGATCCTAATAGGTTCTTCTTTCCTGCTGTGGTCCTGGGAAGATCCTTCTACTTTGAAGGGGGCAGCCATAGCTTGCTCTCAGGTGCAGTTATACATACTCCCAGCCATTCTGCTACATCATTTCCAGAAAGATCATGAATGCAATATGTTCTGTATTTTGTTCTCAATACTGTTTTGATGGAGCTAGAGTTTGGAGCAGAATCTGCATTATTTCCAGAACCTCTTTCTGACCACTATTCGTGGGATTGCTGTGGCAATAATTTTATTTTTTAGTTAGACTTGGCAAACTGGCTTCATTCCTATTTCATTTTGGATTATACTCCTGTTTACAAACGTAGTGCAAAAACTTTGTCATGTTAAAATACACACACACACACACACACACACACACACACACACACTAGAGTCTGCTGCTGCTGATTCTATCCATTAGTTCTTTGAATTTACCACTCAGATATTTTTGTTGCCATTGTTTTGTGGTGTTATTAGGGTTTGAACTCAGGACCTTATGCTTGCTAGGCAGGTCCTCTAGTATGTCTACCATTCTGTCATCTCTTTTTGCTTTTTTAATTTTGGGGGTTAGGTCCTTAAATTTATTTCCTATGTCAGACTAGAACACAGTCTTTGTATTGTTTTCTTGTATCTGAGATAACAGGTGTGCATCATGACACCCTGCTTATTGTTTGAGATGGGTTGTAACTGTTTACCTGGGCTGCTTGGACTGGTATCCCCTCAATTGCTGTCCACTGTGAGCAACTAAGATGACAGGTGTGAGCACACCTGACCGGAATTGTATGTTTTATAAACAAATACCCCTCCCTGTTTTCTCCCTTTCTCTTCAATCATATCCTAAGTTGTCCAGTGTCAAGATTGTTACATCTTTTCTTACTTTTAAAATGGGAAAAGAGGGGCTGGGAAGGTGGCTCAGTGGTAGAGCGCTTGCTTTGCATGCATGAGGCCCTGGGTTCAATTCCTCAGCACCACATAAACAAAAAGAAAAAAGCCGGAAGTGGCGCTGTGGCTCAAGTGGTAGAGCACTAGCCTTGAGCTGAATTGCTGAGGGACAGTGCCCAGGCCATGTTCAGGCCCCACAACCGGACCCCCCAAAAATGGGAAAAGACTTGGATACTACTCTAAAAAAGACCCATGGATGGCAAATAATCTCATGAAAAAATTCTCATATACTAATTACTGAATTGCAAATAAATCCATGTTGGGATCTTTCCAAAACTCTGTGGAATGACTAAAATGACCGAGACTGACCATATTAAGCAGTGCCAAGGATATGGAGAAACTTGAACGTTTGTACATTGGGAATGTAAAATGACCCATCCATTTTAGTAGAGAATTTGACAGCTGCTTAAACTATGAAGGATACACTTCCCATGAAATCTAAGCCATTCTACTAAAAAAAAAAAAAAGGTACATATCCATACAAAGACTGTTTGCAAATGTTAATAGCAGCTTTGCTTGTAAAACTCCCAGACTGAAAACAATCTTAATGTCCATCTGTAAGTAAATGCATCAGCATGTAGTTCTATGTCCACATCTTGGAGTTCTATTTCACTATAAAAAGTTGACACATACAATACAGGTAGATCTCAATTATGCCAGGTGAAAGAAGCCAGACCAAAAATATTCATATAAAATTACAGAACACATGAACTAACTTAGAGTGATGGATAGGTCAGTGATTACCAGACATCTGGGTAGCCAAAAATAGGAAGGGCAGAGGAATTCAAAAGGACAGGAGGGAAGATATGGGACACACCTACTCATTTTATCCACTGCTCATTATCTCAACTATGGTAATGATTCCATAGGCTTATATTTTTGTCACAACTCATCAAAATTAATCAAATTAGGTACTTTATATTCTTTAAATATTGTAGTTAAAATATGCAGGGAAATGAAGGTCAGACTAAATATTGTAGTTTAATTATACATACAATTGTATGTCAACTCTATTTTAGTAAACTGGTTAACATGAAGTCTGTATTAATACCCTAGATGCTTATTTTGCAGTCACTTATTGTGAATAGATAACTGTTCATTCATTATGTGTGGTGGTGGATCTTTGAAACTTAAGTCACAAATGCCATTACAGGTGGCATGTATTCCAATATATTTACCATCCAATCTGTAATCATTGGAAACCTGGTGTACAAATCACTTCTAATGTAGATAAAAGAAGACATGTTCCTTATGTTAAGTCGACACACATAAAATATTCAATGAAGATGTTAGTTTATTGAAAAGGCAAAGTAATCAATCTACTTTAGTTTCCAATGTCTTACATGGAAATCAAATACTTACACTTTCTATTGATTCATAATTCACTGCAGAATACAATCACACCATATGCTGAAAATCATCAGTCACATCTGTGTTTGCCTCCTATAAAAAAAAAATCTAAGGAACCTTTCTTAAACAAGTAGGAGTTTGTTTTAATCACAAAATAAGGAAGTGACGATAGACAAACCAAAGCTGGTTTGCAAAACAGTGTAATGGCAACTTCAAAGTGGACTTCTATTTTTTCCCTTTTTTCGTGATTAACATTAGTATGTGGATTTAATCCTTCTACCAGTCCTAATACACCAATTAAGAAACTTTTTGTACCATGCTGATATACCTGATCAATACAGGGGCTACCTGACGACCTGTTTTTAATTTAAAATTTTCATGTTCCCAGAAAGCCTACACAGCAGAACTTCTCCCACTTTTCAGAGTAGCACACTTAGTAGGACAAGATGGGGACATTTTTTTCTTATTTTAGTTGCCTGACTCTCTTTCCTCTAAAAATAATCTTCTAGAAATAATCTTTTGCTTACTCTCTGAGCAACCTTTTGCATTTTATGAAGTTTAAATCCTTTCCAACTTAGAACTTTTTTTCTTCAGTTTGCAGACGTTTTCTTCTGTTGTGTTAACAATGAATTTTCTTCACATTTCTTGCATCCCAAACTACTTCAGCACATATTAGATGGTCATTGCTTCACTGGAATCAAATTTCAATATTTCCAAAATTTTCTCTCAGGTTTACTGTTTTCTCTGTGTTCAGAATCTCTCAACTTCATGTTGTAATTTAGAAGGATTTCTTTTCTTTCTCATTATTGCCTTTCTTTTTATAAATTTCAGCCAACACATTCTTACTTCTTAAGAACAGCTTTCTCTTCCTACTTATATCTGTTATTTTCAATCTCTTAAGATTTTCTGATGGCAAGAGTGAAGTGTTGGGTCTCTCTCTCTCTCCTTCTCCCTCTCTCCCTCCCTCTCTCTTTCTCTGTCTCTGTCTCTCTCTGTTTCTGTCTCTGTCTCTGTCTGTCTGTCTGTCTATCTGTCTCTCTCTCTCTCTCTGTCTTAAGTCTTGAACTCAGATGCTGGGTGCTGTCCCTTAGCTTTTTCACTTAAGGCTGGCATTCCACTACTTGAGCCACAGCTCCACTTCTGGCTTTTTGGTGATTAACCAGAGACAGGATCGCTTTTGTTATGTCATTCTTTTCTATTAAAATCAAATAACCAGAAAGAATCTCAGAGACTGTCTTGCCTAAGCTGACTTCAAACTGCAGTTCTCAGATCTCAGCCTCCTGAATAACTAGGATTGCAGGTGTGAGCCACTGGCATCCAGCTAAGAACAAAGTTATTCTTAAGAGAAATCGTTTTTCAAGTTTTATAAAAATTTAGGCATAATTTACAAGAAGTAAATTATGTATACATTTTAGCTATGCTATTCAATTAGTTGGGTTGTTTTTTTTTTTTTGTCATGGGACTTGAACTGTGGGCCTGGGCACTGTCCTTCAGCTCTTCAGCTCAAGGCCAGTGCTCTACCACTTGAGCCACAGCATCACTTTCAGTTTTCTGGTGGTTTATTGTAGATTAGAGTCTCACAGACTTTCCTTCCAGGCTGGCTTTGAACTGTGATCCTCAGATCTCAGCCTCCTGAGTAGCTAATGGGCCACCTGAGTAGCTAATGGGCCACTGTTAGTTTTAACAAATGTGTTCACCTAAATAATTATCAAAATGCACAATGATGCCATTATCCCAGAAAATCTCCCTCAGGCCTTTTTCAGTAGATGATTATCCCCTCCCTTTGATGTAAGAGTCATGCTGGATTTCTAACCATGGATTTCTAACCTATAGATTTTTTTCACTTATGAATGGAATTATAAGATATTTTCCTGTGTCTTGACTTCTTTCATTTATAATAATTATTTTATTATTTACTATTTGCTGCTTGTAATCTAGTCTTGTTATAACTAATAACATTATCTTATATAAATATCCTATGATTGGCCTATCTATACACATAGTGATGGACATTTAGATGGCTTCCAGCTTGGAGCTGTTATGAGCAAAGTTGCTATGAACATTCAAGATGTGTAATAAGTATGTATCCTCATTTTCTGTTGAGTACAGATGCCTAATAATTCATATCACCAATCACCACACACAGCCTCAGAACTCACTATGTATGTGTAACAAGGAATAATTTCATATGCAAATCAAAAATAACTAAATTCTGTCTTAGAAAAAAAACCTCACAGGCAGAAATAAGAACAACAAGAAAAGATCTTCTTACCTATCCTATTCAGAGAATATTGTCCACTGAAACTTAGGTTTTGTGGATGAGCCTACATGGACAAATAACTCATTACTATGTAAATATTTTCTTTGGTATTTCAGTATTAACTAAGATATGTAAATATTTAGTGTTTCCCAATAACTTTCCAAATCTAAATATTTCATGTGGAGAACATGCTTTCTTTGGGGCTGTAGAGCCATAAATGACACACTCATGGAGGTTATGGACCTGAGATGTATACTAGCTGATTGGTAATTGCTGCCTCCCCTTGGTGGCAGCCAGTGTCCTTAGGTTGGACCTCCAGGGGACAGAGAGCTTTTGGCCATGAGTATATGATCCTGGAGATTCTCGGTTCCCAGTACTACCACACCCAGGCCTCCTGTCTGCTAGCATCTATTACAGGGGAGCAAGCTGGGTCCACCCAAAGACCCCCACCAAGGAAACTTGTTTAAAAAGTGTTGGTGAAACAGATTTTGGCATTGTTACAAGAGGTAGACCATCAGGTCTTCCTTGGGTCTTCCTTTGGGTCCCCAAAAGTGGACTCTACTGATTTTCCAATTTCTGTACAGGAAATGGTTATATGTCTCCTCTACAACTAAGCAGGTTTAGTTTTCTGAAGGGACACAGTTATTTGCAGTGAGCACATTCTGCAAGGGATAGGTTGAGTGGTATGCACTCTCCCCAAAGTCAAAACTGATGAGAGATGAATTGCTCCGTCATCTCAGGCCAAATGCTGGCTTCCTTTTTTGTTCATCCTTCCTTGTCTTTCATTATAACACTTTGCTGGTGCTAGAAATCCCCCTACCCCAAAAGCATTTAGTCCTTTTTACCTGGATTGCATTCTAGAAATTACTATTCGTTGGTCGGATATGGAATTCTTTGCTGATTTCCAGTACTGCTTAAAATCTGTTTTTTAAAAATAGTTTCAGCCAAGTGTGGTGGCATATGTCTTTAATCCTGACTATAAAGGAGGCAATAAGTAGCAGGATTGTGGTCTAAGGCTGACTCTAGTGAATACAAGGCTTTATCTGAACAATAAACAAAGCAAGGGAGCACAGATTCTGCATAGCAAGTACAAGGTCCTATTTCATTGTTTTTGTTTGTTTATTTGTTTGTGTTTTTTGCCATATGTAGTGACTTGAGATGTGAGAAGAGATAGATGATTGCTATTTTTAATCTTGACTTGCATTTCCTATGCTAGTTTTTGTTTCATTTGTTTCTTTATAAAGTTCTTTGTTCACTTTATAAAGGAATATTATACTATCTAGGAAAATTGAGAACATATGGTCAAGTGAAGTGAATTGTGACAGTTTTTTAAAAGACAAAATATATGGTTTTGTTTAATACCAAATATATTCAATTTTTCAGTAACATTCCTTCAGTAAAAGAATGTTCAGATGTTAACTTCGGTAGAGTCGTAGTCTACAGCAAAAACAGCAACTTTCAGTTCCAGTGCCATTGCAGCTGAATTCTGTTCAATTAAAAAACAATCGTAGAAGTTACTAACAATAATAGTAAGAAGATGATATGCGTCAATTTTGCATTCCGCTTCCTATAATTAGAAAATAAAATGGTTGTTTCGGTTCACATGGGGATGATCAATGTAAGTGATCCAAGTTTGACAGAGCAGCTACAGGACCCCCTCTTAGCATTTAACCTTGTCTCTGCCACCCTTTGCTTTGTCTGTCATTCTTACATGCACAGCTGCCTGGCAGCTCTAGGCTATCATCTGTGATCCAAACATAATCATACATCAGTTGACCCTATTATTTTTGGTCAGGAATCACCTTTTGTAAAATTACTTACACTTTACTGGCCTCCTTTGTCACATGATCCTTCTTACCTGCAGAGGAGTCTGGACATCAAGTTTCTTTCGGGGGCCCCGTCGTGGGGCCTGAACTCTGGGCCTGGGCGCTGTCCCTCAGCTCTTCAGCTCAAGGCTAGCGCTCTACCACTCGAGCCACAGTGCCACTTCTGGCTTTTTTTTCTGCTTGTGTGGTGCTGAGGAATCGAACCCAGGGCCTCAAGCATGCAAGGCAAGTGCTCTACCACTGTGCCACCTTCCCAGCTGGACATCAAGTTTCTTAGATTTAACACTTCACTCCCTGGAACTAAAGACAGCAGTGCCTGCCAGAGGGTTGAGTATTGGTGAGAGGTCCTCGCCTGTGAGTGGCTCACAGTAGTGCTGCACTGATAGCTGGATGGAGTTGTCCATGCCCAGGCAGTCGTAACTTTACACACCACTACCTATCTCAGTACACAGGTGAGTGTGCACAAACACTTTAGAAGCATTTGCCGAAATAAGAGTGGTACTTTTATTTTTCCATTTAGCCAGATGGTGCTTCTCTCAACAGTACTGCCCTGTCCGACGGGTCCCAGGATGAAGATGGGAGTCTTGTAGATCCCAGCAGTGACTCCAGGGTAAGTCATTGCATGTCAGCAACTGGGGTGGGAAGATCAGCAGAAATGATTTCTTCAAGACAAAGAGCCAAACTTGAACTGGGGTAGTAAAGTCCCCACAGCTGTTAGCAAACCACAGACTCGGGAATATCCAGCAATCAATGGGTGGTGTTTACCTATACCAAGTATGAGGGAATTTCTTAACTTTGCTCCTCTTGGCAGAGTTTTCAAAGAAGAATATCAGAGGTTTTGGTGGACCAATTTCACTTCGCCACCTCCTCAACTCAGAAGTCCCTTTATTCACATCCCTCACATCTGCCACAGCTTGCCCCACTGAGATTCCCAACTCCGTGTCTCTGAGCTTTTGATAAGACACAGAGGTTCTTTGTTAGAAATTGATGGAAGACAGTGGCTACCACAGCAGATGCCCACGTGGAGGTGGCACAGGGCTGTGCTGTGGAACAGGAGTTTCTCCATCTCTGCCGACTTTGGGAAATGGGATTGATGGCATCTACACCCCCGCCCCCCACTGCCTAGGTGTCCCCACTGTTCACTTTTAGCTTCATATATGTTAACTCTCCTGTGGTGGTTTTAGACTTTTGGTTATGGAACATTTGCATTTTTGAGCTTTTGCTACACAGTGACCACATATTACCGGTGAATAACCAATCATGAACTCTGTAAGGTATAGTATATATAGGCTGAGGTATACCCACTGTGTCTGACCTCATAACTGTAAATCCAGTTGCGATTTTGCTATTTAATACAATGAATTGGAATGACAATGAGGAAGAATGTCTCCATGATAGAGAGCTTCTCAAATCTACCACTTATTAATGGGTTGAATTCACAAACTTTGGTAACTCTAGAATAAAGTTTGACCTTCCATACAGCTTCCACAACTATGCTATTCCCAAGTAACAGGCGAATCCTGTTCTAAGACTTGCCTGGGATCCTTTATTTCCTGTCTCAGCTGGTGGCTCCCATACACCCAAGAGTTACCTGTATGCATCAGCCTTAACTGTGTCCACCATCCTGTTTCACCACGCTTATTTCTGGGACCCATGTATCTTATCATGGAAATAGAATAGTAGAATATTTCTATTCTATTACAGCCAATTCTTTCTTGCAGATTCATCATCATCATCTTCCTGTTTTTACTGAAGCTGTTATAGGGATCTCTCAGATGACAGCCCAACCCATTCTTCCCACAGATCTAAAACTGTTGCTGCCTGGCACCAGTGGCTCACACCTTACAATCCTAGCTACTCTGGAGGCTGAGATCTGAGGATCCCAGTCCAAAGCCCATCCTGGCAGAAAAGTCTATGAGACTTTTTATCTCCAATTAACCATTACAAAACAACAACAAAAAAAAATGGAGCTGTGGCTCTAGTGGAGAAAGCTAGCCTTCAACAAAAAAGCTCAAGGACAGGGCTCAGGCTCTGAGTTCAATCCCTAGGACTGGCAACACCAAAAAGTGCTGGTTACAGATCCAGTGGCTCTCCAACATTCTCTAACACAAAAGGTTATGATGTAGTGAGACCCCTCATTTGCATCTAGCTGACTTTAACAACCTCTGTATCTTCTACAGTCCAACAATGAGGACACTGAATGATTGAACTTCACACAGGATGGTATAATAATTTGGTTGCTAAAGAGGATGGTTGGCATGCCTTGTTTTTGTAGTTTTTCCATGTCATTTTGTGACCACAGTTTTATTTCTGATAAGACTAGTAAAGGGCTTAGAGTATGGTTCAAGTTATCAAGCCTCTGCCTAGCAAGGTCAAGGCCCTAAATTCAAACCCCAAAACAGCTCCCCCCAAAAATAAGAAGAAAGTGATGCTATGATCCCATTTCCTTGCTCTCTGATGCATGTACTCCACCTCACTGGCGCACTCATTAAACATGCCTTTCTTGAACACATACTGTTTTCAAATAGATTCTTAGAAGTTGGAAGATGTGAAAGAAAATGATCTTATGGGGAAGCTCTAGGTAGTTACAGATGGAGCTGTCCAGAACTGTTGATGTCCTTTTTGTTTTGGTGGCTCTAAAAACAAAAACTGGAGGCCAAATATCACATAAATAAAGCAATATTGGGTATGAAAAATGTCTCACTTGTACTAGTCTTCAGCTTGACTTATAATTTAGGCTAGTTACTCAGATAATCTTTTATTAGAAATATTACAGGAAATGCTTAGTTGCTAGGTGTTAACTTAATCCTTACTGGACTATTACTAGAAGTGTTACAGAAGTTTCTGCCATGAAGTTACTACAGTGTGAGTCTGATGGTTCCAGTAATTCAACAAAGTATATTAAAGGCTACAAGGATCTTGGCCATGGTAACTATAAAGGTAAAACTATTCTGTCAGGATGAAGTCCTTGTAAAAACTGACATAGTTTTGGGGGCCAAGACTCAGTTGTCTACCAGACTTCAGGGATCTTAGCAACTTTCCCTTTTGGAATTCATGTTGTAGAGTGAGATAACATAGGTAATATGACTTTCCATTTCTGAAAGCATAATGTCGATATGGACCAGTGCCTTTTCCCCAATCTTTAGATTAAAGATTGAGAAAAATCTCAAGTAATGCCTTGGTGGTAATTAAATCACCATAGAGTCATAGATCTATGGTTTGTTTTTGAAATTGGCTAGAGTAACTTCTACATCAAAGTTTTCTTTTTTTGGAACTTGAGGTCTTATGCTGGCTTAGTTTGTTTGCATACAGTTGGCACTCTACAACTTGGGCCACATTTCAGCTAGCTTTTTGTTGGTTATTTTGGAGATGGAGTCTCATGGACTTTTCTACCTGGTCTAGCCTCCAACTACAATCCTCTGGGTATCAGCTTCCTGAGTAGGTAGAATTACTGGCTTTTTAAGTAATATTTAAGCTATACTTTATTCTTCAGAGAAATGCTTTCTTCCAGATAAACTTTAAAAAAGGCTATGCCTACTACTTTGAAAATCTCAGTAGGACTTTCCTTCTCATCTTTCATCATAAAATGGATATTTATTCTCTCCTTAATTGCTTTAGCGTAGAATAGAAGTTGAATCTACCAAATGGTTATCCAGATTCAATTAATGGAAATAGATTCAAATGTTCATTTACCAACTGCAAATCAAAAATATTTTTAAATTGCATCTGTCCTCATCATGCACAGTTTTTCTTTTCATTATTCTGTAAGCAACATAGTGTAACTTCTATTTACAAAGTACTTACATTGCATTCTCTATATAATTCATCTTTAAGTCATATAACAGGATTAAACGCATACAGATGTGTTGGTATATGTCGATGAAGTGAAAATACACCACCATTTTATAGAAAGGACTTGATAATCCCTGGGTTTGGGTATTTATTTGCAGGGTACTGAGGGGCATTACATGTCTTTTCTCCATCTACTTCAAAAGTCGAGGGCCTTTTGTGGACAGGCTGCATTTCCTTCTTTACTTCCTGCTTTAACAGGAGAGACTCCTTTGTTTTTGTTTTTGTTTTTTATCACTTATGGTTCTAAGTCTCAGTGTCCCTATGTGACTTTCAGCCTCTTCCATAATTGTGAGCTGACTCTTGCTCTTTATTAATTCATTATTCAATTTTTCTAATACTCTGACTCAGTTACTAAAACATTTATCTCTCTATGATTCTTTGTATCAGTTCGGCTGTGCCCATTCCTGAAATTTATACTTCCATTTCTGGTTGGAATGTTTTTACTTGTCTCCTCTGCCTTTGTAAGCACCTTTTATTGATCTCAAGGTCCAACTCAAGTTCACTTTATCTGTAAAAAATCTTCTGGTGGCTTCTTGTACCTCTCCCATCGTTTTCCAATAATACAGTTCATAATAGAGAAATAAGCTCTTAACAGTGCCTTGCTTGTCTTTTAATAATGTTCCATAAAAGTTATTCTGTTCTTTTTGTAAGTAGCTCAAGAGCAGGGATTATGTCTGAAATCTCTGTCCCAAAGTAATTTATGTTACAAAGAACAGATACTCATTGAGCACAACAGGATGACTAGCGGCCAGCTAAAGCAATTGAGCAGATGGACACTTTCCTACTTTGAAGATTAAGCAATTGACATTCAGTAGCTGAAAGCATCCCAAGTCTTCAACTTTAAATTATAAATAAATTAAGCCTCTCGGTTTTCAAAGGCACCTTCTTTCCCATAGGTGAGTTTTTATTTCAGAGTCTGACAATGCATTTCTCTGTTGAAAAACTTAAGGAAACCACTGAAAACTTGTCTACACCTTTTTAAGAATTTTAATATATAAAAAGAATTTTAATATATAGAAATGTTTATTACATTTCCATTACTATAACAAAATCCTGTGGTAGTCAAATGACAAGGAGAAAAGGTTGAAACCTTGGTCAGTTGACCCTGTTGCTTTGGTGCCCATAATGAGTCAGCATACTGTGGTGTTAGCATGTAGCAAAAGAAGCTACGTGTCTCAACACAGCACCCCAACATTTTCAGTGTGGAATGGACACACCATAATGACCTAAGACTTCCTGCTAGGCTCCTCCTCTTAAAAGTTCCACCACTTCCCAACAGGGCTAAGGTGAACCAACATATGAATCTATGAACCAACCTACATATCTTTATGGGAAATTCCAGATCCAAACTATAGCAATTAATAAACTTTAACTCTATCAGCAATGACAATAAAAGGTATAAGAGTATTGTCTTTTCTTCCACCAAGTCCAGTATGCTGACATCTGTGTTGTAGAAACTGGCCATTCATTTGTGTGCTGTTTCCACAAATAAAAGTACATCATTTGCTTTGAAATAAAGTAGAAATTTAAAAAAAGAGAACATGAGGCTCAGAATTTGAGACTGTCTTCTGCAATTTGTAGCACATGATAGAAAGGATCTTTTATGAAGCAGGTGTTCCGTTATTGCTAAATAAATATGAGAATAAAAGAAACAATATCATGCTCTGGGGGAAAAGAATAGATTTTTATGTGTGAATAGTGTATAAAAGGGTTTTGATGGAATATATCATTTTCACAGTAACACCTATTCACAGATAATAACTTCCACAGCCAAGTGTGATGTTACATGCCTGTTAACTCTGTACTTGGGAGTCTTGAGATAGGAGAATCATGTGTTCAAGGCCAGTCTGCAAGTGGAAACCCTGTATACACCGTCTTTCCCAAAATAAATTTTATAGAATTTGCATGTAAAATTATTTAAAGAATTTCTAGGTAAGTTTTTTACTTGTGGTCTTCCAGACATGAGCAATAATTCATTGAACAGATTTCTATAAAGACAGAAGACTCAACTTCTGATAGAACTGCAGGCTTTCAGTGTAGAAAGTGCCAAATTATTTGAATTATTTAAGAATGGAAACTGAATTGGAACTGAACTACAAGAGGTATTTAATTTTTTTGTTCATTAACTCTGCATTTTACAGTAATATTAGTATGCATATATAATATTAAGACAAAACATAGAAAGACTGATAAATCATATTGTAACTGGCAAACCATAGAACATAAAGCATTGCAATTTCTAAATCTTAGCAAAGGTATAATCAGCAAACATGTAAGAGCTAAGAAGGTGGAGTAATATTGAAAAGAAACCAATGCAGGCCATTTATGAAATCAAGAAAAAATTGTGAAAAGAATTCTGTGGAACTGTGGAACAGAGATCAGATTGAATTGAGGGTAGTTTGTATTTATGGTAACCTTCTGTGTTTGTCTTCTATTGCTTGGCAGTCTAGACTTGAGGCTCTTCCTGATATTCCAGCTCATTCCAATGGATCTGCAGACTCTGGGCAGTCAGTTTCGAATGAACTGCACAGTGAGTAACTTGACTCCACTGAGTTTAAACTAGGCCATCTCACTTTGATTCTGGTACCTGGTATACTTACCAGTGATTTTATTTATTTATTTCCAGGGCTCGAATTCAGGGCCTGAGTACTATCCCTGAACTTTTTTGCTCAAAGGTAGCACTCTACCACTTGAGCCACAGCTGTACTTTTGGCTCTTTGGTGGTCAATTAGAGATAAGAGTCTCACAGACTTTCACGCTTGGACTGACTTTGAACCTTAATCCTTAAATCTCAGCCTCCTAACTAGCTCAGATTACACGTGTGAGACACCAGTGCCCAGCTGTCTTATTTATTTTTAATGCACCTATTTTTAAACTGATACACAAAACATAAACATGTACATATTAATGGGGGGATGGCATTTGTAGATACATGGATACGTTGTATAATGTTTCATCAGATTAAACTCTGCAATTTCCTAAATATTTTTCATTTTTTTTGGCCATAACTTTCGTATTCCTTTGTCCTAGCTTTTTGTAGTCTACAGTTGATTGATGTTGATAGTAGCACCTCAGAGCTTCTTGCTCTTCTCTGTACTGTAGTGACCACCAACCTCTTCCTATCTTCTTTCTTCCCGATAGTGAACTTTCTAAAAACAAAATGTAAGTGCAATATTTTTCCTCATTATGATTCTATTGCTTCCCAATGTTCATTTTCCCTGTGCACCTCCAAACACCCCTTCAGGCACAGTAGACAAAATGGAATTCATCCCAATGGAAAGGGTGGCATATTTTCTTCTCTCCCACCGTATCATATAGGAGCTTATTACTTGGGCCACGACTGACTTGAGGCCTCTTCTACAGTCCCATGGATTTGCCCAACACTTTCAGAAAGACCAGAAGTGGTCATTTCCAGCTCCTAACTTACTACTCTGGTACATGTTGGGCACGTCCTCAGATCCTTGAAGGACGCAGACCCCCTGAGGATGTGTTTTTGTGATGTCACCCCGAGTCATGAAGTACATGCACTCTCCTTGTAAAAACAGAGTCCATCTTTGATCATGCACATACAAACCAAAGAAGTTGAGTTAGTGAAGTTGATTATATAGAGATGGATGCCTAATGCTAATCTGATAAACACCATTGACTCGAACACTTTAAATGGTGAATTGCATGACAGGTGAATTGTCTCTCCATGAAGCTGATAACAGATTAGTTAATTTAAACATTTTTTAAAAGGATTTGCCAAAAATTATTTCACATCATCTTATTTGCTGCCACATCAAAAGTAGTTCAAATCATGCCTTAAAGATAGAAGTTACATGCGGTGGTCCAGCAGTTTGGAGAACTGGCATGTTGCATTACTTCTTCCTAAATAATTTGTCCATGGATTCTTAAGAAGTTACAGAACCATTGCATAACTTTTCTTCCTCTGTGATGAAACAGATGACAAGCCGAAACCAGTCCAAAATCAGAGTTCAAGAGTACTCACATGATATATTGAATCTCCTGGTTTCAGTCCAGGGAAATTTTGTTTATTCACAAGTTGGGTTGAGAAAAGCTCTTCTTTGGGGCATTCCTTATCACACAGTCAGCCTTTTCTTAATGTGCGTCAACAAGGTCAGATAGACAGGATCAAATTACAGAACTGCCTGCACAAACCTAACCGTGAGACCAAACTGACTTTATCCAAATCTTAAGAAGGAAATATTCCAGAGCTTGGGGGAAAAAACCCAAAACAAAACAAAGAGCAAAAGCAGAGACAATTTTGAGCAGGATCCCACCACCACACACACCTCTCTTTGGCCTCAGGCTTCCAGTGCTCTAAAAAATAAAATGGAATTGCATTCATGTAATACAATTTTAATATCAGAATATTCTGCTAAATAATCCTCAGCAACCTTCATAAAACAGAAAAATCAAAAACGTTAAAAATCATGTGATGGGGGGAGGGGGGAGGCTGGGAAGGGATGTGAAGGGTAAATCAAAGGAGGAGGCTGCAATGCTTGGTAAGAAATGTACGCATTATCCTGCCCATGTAATTGTAACCCCTCTGTACAGTATGTTCACAAATAAAAAATAAATAAATAAATTTTAAAAAAATCATGTGAATTTTAAGTTTCTTAGATAATGACAAAAACTGTGATCATCTGATGACAACACATCGTTCATTGCAAACTAAACTTGGGAGAATCTGATGTTCTGCACAGTCTAATCTATGTGTGTGTAGGTACCTTGGAATTATTTAGTGCCTATTTTATAGTAAATGGTATTGATTGACCAAATGACATACACATCAAATTTTTCTTGCTTTTTAAGATGGTGGTTATCTAGAAAAGAACATTCCAGCAGAGGCGGAAGAGCTGTCCTTTGAAATATCGTATTCAGAAATGATTGCAGATGCTCCAAAAAGAAATAAGTGTAAGAAGTCTGAGATTAAGAAAGAAGAGTGTGCTTTAACTGTAAGTAAAACTTTCCTTGAATGGCTAGTGAAGATCTTCTGCCAATTCATGGGCTTTCTATTGATCTTGCTAGCTATGTTCTTTACCATGCAGAAGCTCTGCAGCTTCATGCAATCCCATTTGTCCAACCTTTCTTTGATTTGTTGTGTTTCTGGGTCTCTATTGAGAAAATTTCAGCCTGTGCCTAAGAGACCTAGGGTTTCTCCTATTCCTTCCTGTAATGTTTTCAGGGTGTCTGCTTTGACTTTGAGGTCTTTGATCCATTTGGAATTAATTCTGGTGCAGAGTGATATACAAGGATCTAACTTTAGTTTTCTACAG